TGTCCGAAGCCGCTGAGGACCAGAAGCAGCTTGGAGCTTTAACTTTCATTTTACAAAGAACAGCATGCGTGGCTCTTGCAGCAGGCAAGTTATAACTGGCACTTACTTCTTGTTCTTCTAGAACACCGAAAATCTTCCCCAGCACTTTAGAACGGGGACCCTGTCTGTGTTAAAGAAGAAGTGGGAGAAGCCAGCAGCCGGAGCAGAGCCGCACACAGACTCACTGCCACACAGGAGCAGCGAGGTTAGGCACAGAGTGGACCACCCTCCTGCTGAAGTGACAGACAGCTCTGCTACTGGAACCAGGGCCAACCTCGAAGATCTAACCCAGCCCAAACCTAGATTTGGATCACGTCTGGAAGCCGTTGCTCAGTGTCAGTATCCCCCCACCGAAGACAGTGAGGATCCGAAAGCCCAGGCACCAGAAATTAAAAAAATGGAAAATTGTCTGGGAGATTCCAGGCATGAAGTGGAGAGATCAGAAATGTGTGAAAACACAGACGCTTCAGGCAAAATAGAGAAATACAATGTTCCGATGAACCAGCTTAAGATGATGTTTGAGAAAGGTGAACCAACTCAAACCAAGGTAAGAACTGGGCAGGTTTAAAACTCATTGGAGAATGCCAGTTCAAGTACTAAACAAGGCTGTTTTTCTGAATCTGGTCAGCTGGAGTACAGCTGAGTATGTGGTCAGCATGTCTCTGATTCAAGTTAGATGAGTCAATGAAAAGTCTCAAACTGTTTTCATGGATGCTAAGATTGAGTCTCAGACCCAATTTCATGTTAGATCTAGCTGACCCCTGGATTCAGGTCAATGTCTGAAAATGAAGAGAGTTGGATACTGACTGGATTGTGTGTTCTGGTACATTTGCCCTTTAAATTTGTCTTCCTGCATCTTTTGTCATTTGTAGCCTTGGGGGTGAAATTACTGCTGAATCGCTATCTACTTGGACACAGCTGCAGACTGAGCTTTGAGGCCAGAGTCTAGCATTAGGACTGAGGCTTAGTTGTCTCTCTGCTAGCTGAACTCTTACTTCCTCATGTGTGCCTCCCAACAAATGTTTTTTATGAGCTCAGCTCCTCTCCCAGGAAAAATCCGTGCTGATAGCCAGACTAGCCATAGCCTTCAGGAGTTTTGACTTGCATTTTCCTGCAACTGCTAATGAAATTTGATCCTTCATGTGGAATGCACACCAAGTCCCCTGAGGGAATTACTTAACTAGAAAATGAGTTACATATGCTGGTGACTTATAACACAATCCAGGGGCCGCAGAACTGATAAATTTGTCCAGTTTTCTCATACTTTCCTACATTTCTGGCTTTGTACATGGGGATGATTTGTCACAACAGTCGTCCTAATGAAATAACCAGATCTGACGGGTAGCAAAGCCATCGTTCACTCTAGATTCCAACTACATGGAAAAGCTGATTTTTCATTAGCTAAATATTTGCCCCCATCCCTGTATTTGTGAAGTAATAGGCATGAAACTGAAAAATATATATAAAAGTCAGGAGCCATGAAGTCTCTCAGGCAGGTCACGTACCGGTCAGGAATTCCAACTCACTGAAAAGTAAGTTTTATGGCTGAGACATCTGGCCTACTGATAAGTAAGTTTTATGGCTGAGACATCTGGCCTACTGATAAGTAAGTTTTATGGCTGAGACATCTGGCCTACTGATAAGTAAGTTTTATGGCTGAGACATCTGGCCTACTGATAAGTAAGTTTTATGGCTGAGACATCTGGCCTACTGATAAGTAAGTTTTATGGCTGAGACATCTGGCCTACTGATAAGTAAGTTTTATGGCTGAGACATCTGGCCTACTGATAAGTAAGTTTTATGGCTGAGACATCTGGCCTACTGATAAGTAAGTTTTATGGCCGGGACATCTGGCCTACTGATAAGTAAGTTTTATGGCTGAGACATCTGGCCTACTGATAAGTAAGTTTTATGGCTGAGACATCTGGCCTACTGATAAGTAAGTTTTATGGCTGAGACATCTGGCCTACTGATAAGTAAGTTTTATGGCTGAGACATCTGGCCTACTGATAAGTAAGTTTTATGGCTGAGACATCTGGCCTACTGATAAGTAAGTTTTATGGCTGAGACATCTGGCCTACTGATAAGTAAGTTTTATGGCTGAGACATCTGGCCTACTGATAAGTAAGTTTTATGGCTGAGACATCTGGCCTACTGATAAGTAAGTTTTATGGCTGAGACATCTGGCCTACTGATAAGTAAGTTTTATGGCTGAGACATCTGGCCTACTGATAAGTAAGTTTTATGGCTGAGACATCTGGCCTACTGATAAGTAAGTTTTATGGCTGAGACATCTGGCCTACTGATAAGTAAGTTTTATGGCTGAGACATCTGGCCTACTGATAAGTAAGTTTTATGGCTGAGACATCTGGCCTACTGATAAGTAAGTTTTATGGCTGAGACATCTGGCCTACTGATAAGTAAGTTTTATGGCTGAGACATCTGGCCTACTGATAAGTAAGTTTTATGGCTGAGACATCTGGCCTACTGATAAGTAAGTTTTATGGCTGAGACATCTGGCCTACTGATAAGTAAGTTTTATGGCTGAGACATCTGGCCTACTGATAAGTAAGTTTTATGGCTGAGACATCTGGCCTACTGATAAGTAAGTTTTATGGCTGAGACATCTGGCCTACTGATAAGTAAGTTTTATGGCTGAGACATCTGGCCTACTGATAAGTAAGTTTTATGGCTGAGACATGTTTTATAGCTGTTTCTGAACAGCTATACAATTTCTCAATTACTTTGAGAAATTGTCCAGGGCTAGGAATATAGCTCAGTGGTGGAGTACTTGCCTAGCATGTAGCATGCACAGGACCCTGAGTTTAACCTCCTGCACCACTCAGACTCAGGAATACACAAAAAATTTGTCTAGTATTTCAATCAAACTGTTAAGAGAAGTTTTGTCTACCAGGTGTTATGTTGTGTTGCGTGTATTGATGTGGGAGGGCGAGCCCCTTGAGAACCAAGGCAGCCAAGCCATCTGCATTCATCCGATAGTTATCCATAGCAACTAATTTATTATCTTCATCAAAGAAACAATTCTTTTTTGTTGTTGATGATGATAGAGCTATTTTATTGAAACTAGTTATCACTGTTTCTGAGGCTGGCCTAGAATTTGCTGTGTAGTCTAGGCTTGGCTGATACTCTCAGTCATCTTACCTCAGACCCCAAGTGCTAGATTACAGGTATGCACTATCATACCCACTGCTTGCCCATTTTTGTTTTTGTTTTTGAGACAGGGTCTCCCTGTAGCCCCAGCTAGCCTGGTACTCACTATGTAAACCAGGCTGGCCTCAATCGCACAGAGATATACCTGCTTCTGCCTCCCAAGTGAGCCACCATACCCAGCCTTTTTTAAAATGTGGAATGCTTCACAAATTTGCATGTCACCCCTGTACAGGGGCCGGGCTAATATCCTCTATATCACTCCAGTTTTAGTACATGTGCTACCAAAGTCCATTTTTTGGTTTTGTTTTCATTTTTATTTATTATTGTGTGTGCATGTGATCTCTGAATATAGGCACATGTATGCCACAACATATGTATGGAAATCAGAGGACAACTTTGGGGAGTTGGTTCGTTCTTTCTACTGTGGATTTCACTTTTTACCCACCAAGCTACTCCACTGACCCTGTTTTGTTTTGTTTTAAATATTTTTATTTTATGTGTATGGCTGTTTGCATGCATGTTATTCACCACATGTGTGCTTGGTGCCTGTGGAGGCCAGAAGAGGGCATTTGTGAACCACCATATGGGTGCTGGGAACTGAATCCAGGTCAACTGCAAAAGCAGGCGATACTCTTATAACCACTGAACTGTCTCTAGCCCATGCTTTGGTTTTTAGAGACAGTTTCCCTGTGGCCTGGGCTGACCTGGAATCACTATGTAGTACAGGCTGGCTTCACATTCAGTGGTGATCCTGCTTTTAAGCATCCTGAATGCTGGGATTACAGACCGTAGCCATCAAACCCAGCTGTTTTGCCCTCTTGATGAGTGGGTAAGTGTCCTTAAGGCAGCAAAAATCATTGGTCACTCTCGGTTTTGCCCAAACACTTTCTTGCCCAAACCAGGAATCAATGACATTTTTTTTTCTCTTGGAGGATAATAATTACAAGAATTACGCACTTAATGTTATCATAATAAAACATTTCTTCTATTTTCTAAACATCTTTAATAAATTACTTATTGATAGAGTTGGAGGGTGCTCATAATTGCCATTAGTTGAAAAGTCATAATTTTAAGATGAACTTGAGGGAAGAAAGAGATTTGAATAACTCAGCATCACTGTAGGGTCTGGTACTGTTATCCTCACAGAAGAGTGTATCTTTAATTTGTTTTAAATGAATCATAAATCTTAAGTTGATCTCACATTTAATCCCCTAATAGTGTGGCTTCAAATGAGGATTACTGGCTTCATATATTATTGCTCTTCAATATACATTATGATTATTTCTGTTTTATTAATATTCTATGCCCTCTTTTCATCTTTTTGGTGGTGGGGGTGGGTTGTTTTTATTTTATTTTATTTATTTATTTATTTATTTTTTGAGACAAGGTCTCATGTAGCCAAGGCTGGCCTTGAATTCCGGATCCACCTGGAATTACCAGTGTGCACCACCACACCTGCTTTTATATACCTTATTAACCTAACTTTTTGTTGGTTTCTTATGTCTTCCTGAGTTTGGAAATCTAAGACTGCTGTGCTGAGTCTTCTCTCTAGTGGAGCATTTTTTGTAAAGAATATGTAAGGGGGCTGGAGAGATGGCTAAGCGGTTAAGAGCATTGGCTGCTCCTGCAGAGGACCTGGGTTCAATTCCTAGCACCCACATAGTAGCTAACAACCATCCATATAAGTTCCAGGGAATCCAGTGCCCTCTTCTGACCTGCACAGGCATTGCATGACATGGGCACACTTAACAACATATGCAAGCAATATATATACTCATACACATAAAAATAAATAAAACATTTTTTAAAGATCATGTCAGTATAAATTAAGTTTCATAATTAATGGCTCTGAGTAATCCTTCAGTCTCTTTTTTTGTAATAAGATAATATAGGGTTTATGGAGAGATGGCTCAGCCGTTGCTCTTGCAGAGAACCCAGATTCAATTCCCAGCACCCATATGGTGGCTAACAACTGTCTGTAACTTCTGTTCCAGGGGAATTTGATGCCCTCTTCTGACTCCATGGGCATTGCATGACACAGGTACACTTACATACACCCAAGCAATACACTCATACACACAAAATAAAAATAAATAAAATATTTTTTTAAAGTTAATAAGGGATCCAGGTGTGCAAAGATACCACTTCTGCTGTTTTCCACTGTTTCCTGCCCTGGACAGTTCTTGTTGATGTATCAGCCAGAGACTAGGCATCTCTTCTGTTTCTTGCCAGCTAACTACTTACTGCTTTCTAGCCTTTTTGTTTTCAGTTAGACATACTGAGAAGCAAAGTGAAAGTCTGGAATGTAGCCAGATGTGGTGGCACACGCCTTTAATCCCAGCACTCAGGAGGCAGAGGCAGGTGGATCTCTATGAGTTCAAGGGCCAGCCTGGTCTACATAGCCAGTTCCAGGACAGCTGGGGCTAAGGGAGACCCTGTCTCAAAAAAAAAAGAAAAAAAGAAAAAAACAAGACTGGAACATTCCGTGAGCTTTTGTTGGGGCTAAGAAGACATCATCTGCTACCCAAACACCACCACCTATGCTTCATGCTGTGGGGCTGGTTAGACAGCAGCTGTGCATCTAGAAGAGTGTAGGGCACAGTCGTTTCCTCTGGCCTTCTCACTTTGATAAATTAGAGTGAGTGAGTGAGTGAGTGAGTGAGTGAGTGAGTGAGTGACGTAGAGATCCCAAATCGAAGCAGGGACATCTGTGAGATTATTTAGTCTGGTTCACCACTCTAGTCAGGATATCCTAATTCCCATTTTCCAGATGGAAACAGCTTAAGTTGGAGAAATTAACTTGATATGCCTAATGTCGTATGACTAATCAGTGTCAGAACAAGGACTGAGATTGTGTAGTGCCCTTCTACCATTTAATGTATCTTCACAGATATTATAACTGGTTATCGTTAGGGTACAACTTGGCCTATAGCCCTGCATCTTAGAAATCTATGGAAATTGGAATAAATTGAAAATATATCAATAATGGTATCCTCACACATAAGCTATCTTCCCACATTTTTTTTATTGTCCCACATTTTTTAAGATTTAGTTTTATTATTTTTAATTGTGTGCGTAGGGGTGGGTATGTATAAGCAACAGCATGTGACCTTGGCAGTCAGAGATGATGGATCTCCTGAAGCTGGAGTTACAGGAAGTTGTGAACTGCCTAATGTGGGTGCTGGGAACCTAACTCATATCCTCTGGAAGAACAGGAAGTGCTCTTAACCACTGAACCATCTCTCCATCCCACCCCCAACATTTTATATTTAACTAGATGGAAAACATCAGCAGTGAAACGATATACACTGGAATGTAAAAAAAATTATACAAAAACTCTAGAGTGAGAAGCTTGTGGACTGAGGGCTTTGTTTCTCTTATGCTTATATAAATAATCAGCTGAACACGCTCACTGATTGAATCAGAAGGAAGAAAAAGTGAAGTAAACCAGGAAAAAAAGTAACCTTTGGCTGGGGAGATGGGTCAGTTGGTAATGTGCTGGCCATACACACAACCCCAGAACCCACATAAAAAAGCGGAGCACAGTGGCAGGCACTGGTAAGTCCAGCTCTGGGGACGTGGAGATGGGAGCATGCCTGGGCCACAGGAGCATCTGCACAAACACACACAAAGTAACCCTAGGCAGCTGCACAAGACTCCGGTTCCTTTTAGGTCCTTGTCATCTCATGCTTGGGTTTTATGTTACTGTCATCACTACATACTCCCTGTTCTGTGGCCTTTATGTGTAAGTCTTTCTTACACTGACCTACATATGTGTCTTTCTAGTTCATGTACTTCCTCTTATGGGAATATATTTCATTATGCTGTGTAATCATTCCCCAGTATCTGGATTCTTTTCTAGCTTTAAGTATCTTGGCAGAAGTCTTCTGTCTCTTGTAATTTATTTGGACTATATTACTGTAATATATATCACATTTAGAAGAGATACTTTACTGAACATTTTTCTTACATATTTTCAGCTTGTTCTCAAAGATTGTATTATTTTATAATATCACTAAGAGAGTCTAAGCACATGTTCCCAAAAGGTTTATATCTTTTTTTTTTTTTTTTTTTGGTCTTTTTGAGACAGGGTCTCCCTGTAGCCCCAGCTGTCCTGGAACTCACTATGTAGACCAGGCTGGCCTCAAACTCACAGAGATCCGCCTGTTTTTGCCTCCCAAGTGCTGGGACTAAAGGTGTGTGTCACCACACCCAGCGCTATCATTTTTTTAAAATGGGACTTCTTTTATTTATTTATTTATTATGTATATGAGTATATTGTCTGCATGTGTGTAAGTGCACCTGTGTCACGCAATGCCCACAGAAGTCAAAAGAGGGCATCAAATCCCCTGGAACTGGAGTTATGGACTGTTAGCCACTTTGCAAGAGCAACTGTTGCTCTTGACCCCTGAGCCATCTCTCCAGTCCCACATTGTTTTATAAAAATTAACTGTTTTGTGAGGAGACACTGAAGAAGAAAAAAATTATCAATACTTTGAGAAATAAAGAGTGGATTTCATTTATACCTCATGATTTCTATGCATGGTTCAGCAGACTCTCATCCCTAAAAGCTACTCTTCCTGTATCCTTGAAAAAGAGTCTGAAGAAAGTTCAGGTGAGAATGTTGAAGGACGTGCTGAGTGAGGTAAAGGACTCCCGATCAAGTGCTGAGAGTCACCTTCATTTGAGGGATGGGAGGAGAAGAGACAGGATCTCATGTAGCTCATGCTGTTCTTGAACTCATGTAGGGAAGATTGGCTTTGATTTCCTTCTGCCTCCGTCTCCCAAGAGCTGAGTTTGTAAGCATGTACCACAGCATCTGATTTGAGAATCAACTTTTTTTCTTTTGAGCCTTAGTCTCTCAGAGATCTCACTATCCTGGAATAGTTAGTAACTGATTAGTTAGGCTGACTACCCAACAGGCTCTGGGACCCCTCCTGACTCCATGCCCTGGCCCTGGGGTCATAAACACACACTGCCACACAGCTTTTAAATGAGTATTGGGGATCAAAACTCAGGTCCTCATTCCTTCAGAACAAGCATTTTCAGTGTGGTGACTCATGCTTGTAACCCCAGTTCTCCAAGGCAGGAGGACTGCCATGGATTCAGGCCAGCCTCAGCTACTGAGTAAGATCCTGGGAGAGGGGTTTTATTTTCCTTAAAATAGGAGTAGATGGGATAGGAAATCTTGCTGTGTTAATCATTTAGAACCTAATTTACCTTATTTTTTATTCTAGAAAAAAGATTCTATAGACTTGTGGCTAAAAGCCCCCAAATTCTTACCCTGTTTTCTTGTTTTGAGGGCTTTCTTTGTTTTTGTTTTGACACAGAATCTCTCTTGGTATGTGTTAGTATATTTGATTTATGGATTCACAGAAAATATTTAAAGGACATCCACAGAAGAGTTACAGTCAGCCACAGGAAGGGGGACTTGTGGGGTGGGGTAAAGGCAAGTCCTAGGAAATTCCAGAAAGTCTTAACATGTCTTTTCTCCTCTTGGAAGATTACGATTACGGCCTGCTTATGTGTTCAGTATCTGAGTGAAAAGGTGCTGAAATGGCATATAAATCTGTTATGGCGGCTGTGTGCACAACGTACATGCTTTTTTGTTTTGTTCTATCTGAGCCTTTTTTTTTTCTTCTTCTTCCTTGAGCAATACTGGAAGAAGCTCTCCTTCCTGAACCACTTGCAGACTGTGGGTCACACCTCTAATCCTCTCTCTCTCTGTGGTTCTGAATGTAAAGTGTTAAAAGTGAAGTGCAGACTGTTCCTGGACCTCATTACAGCTGTGTACCTCAGCTCTGTTTACTCCTCAGAAACAGAGAAACTCAGAAACAGTTCTTCCTGTCTTCCCTACACCCTGATGTTTGTGGCCCCTCCCTCCCTCCCCAGGCTGGCCTTCAACTCAAGATCCTTCTGCCTCAGCCTCCCAAGACCCCTGCATATCTTCAAGGTTTTTTGTTCTGATTTTAGGTTTTCTTGTTTTGGTGGGGGTTGGTTTGTTTGTTTGGTTGGTTGGTTGGTTTTTTTTTTGTCTTTTTGAGACAGGGTCTCCCTGCAGCCCCAGCTGTCCTGGAACCCACTATGGAGACGGGCTGGCCTGGAACCCACAGAGATCCGCCTGCCTCTGTCTCCCGAGTGCTGGGATTAAAGGTGTGTGCCACCACACCCAGTGTATTTATTATTTTTACTTTTTATGTGTATCGGTTTTTATTAAAAATATAATAGTAATAGTATATTTAGCAAAGCTAACCAGAAATAGTTTTAACTACATACTAAATTGGTTGTTTTTTTAACTTTTTTTAAATTTTATTTTTCTTTTATGTGTATACGTGTATTGCCTGCATGTAGGTAAGTGCACCCATATTGTGCAGTGCCCGCGGAGGTCAGAAGAGGCTGTCTGATCCCCTGGGACTGGAGTTACGGACAGTTGTTAGCTGCCTTGTGGGTGCTGGGATTCAAACCTGGGTCTTCTGTAAGAACAACCAGTGTTCTTAACCACTGAGCCATCTCTCCAGCCCCCATATTTGTTTTTTAAAAATATTTTATTTCTTCCCGGGTGTGGTAGCACACACCTTTAATCCCAGCACTTGGGAGGCAGAGGCGGTGGATCTCTGGGAGTTCAAGGCTAGCCTGGTCTACATAGTGAGTTCCAGGACAGCTGGGGCTACAGGGAGACCCTGTCTCAAAAAGACAAAAAAAAAAAAATTTATTTCTTGTTTTTGTTTTTTTATGTGTCAGTGTATTGCCTACATGTATGTAAGTGCACCTGTGTTGTACAATGCCACAGAAGTCAGAAAAGGGCGTCAGATCCCCTAGAACTGAAGTTAGGATGGTTGTTAGCTGCCATGTGGGTGCTGGGAACCAATCCCAGGTCCTCTGCAAGAGCAGCCAGTGCTTTTAACTGCTGAGCAATCTCTCCAGCCCCAAATACATACTAAATATGTAAGAAACTATTTTTACTGATGTGACACAAACCAATCTTTAGCTCTGATTTCTAAAGTGGCATGTTTTCTGACATGGGGGAGAAAAGGAAGATACCTTGCAAAAGTGATAGTTTACCTAGTTTACCTTCTTAATATTTACTTTTAAGTTGATTAGCCTATTGTATTTAAAGGTTTAATAGCTTTTATTAATGTTGAACTCAAGTGTGTGCATATATATATATATATATATATATATATATATATATTATATATATGGAGAGAACTTACCTAGTATATAAGAGGCCCTGAGTTTCATCCTCATCCTCAAAGAGAGGAGGAGAAGGAAGAAGGGAGGGAGAGAGAAAAGGAAGTGCTCCACACTTACATGCCTGACATACTGGCTTCCAAGAGTCTTTTCTACTTTATCTGGAAGTAGAGATCTCAGTCATTAAGATCTGGTTGAAGGCTGTTATTATAAACAGAAAGTAACATACTGTGTTTGAGAATATTTTGTGTTACTAAATGACTTTTTCTTGAGTTACATTTCTAGTCCTAAAAATTTAAATTTGTCACTTTATTTTTTTTTATTTATGTATTTTGGGTGTTTGTTTTTGAGGTGGAATCTCCTAAAGCCCATACTAACCTTGAACTCACTATGCTGCAGACTCTGGTCTTGATCTCTTGATCCTCCTGCCTCTACCATCTCCCTAGGATTATAAATTTGCACCACCACAATCAGCCTAATTTGTAACTGTAGCGATCTACCCAAAATATGAGATAAACTAAGGTAGATATTTCCAGGAACCCCAGAATACTTTTAAAATACATATATTTATTATTTTTATTTTATGTGTATTACTATATTGCCTTCATGTAGGTAAGTGCACCCGTGTCATGCAATGCCCTCGGAGGACAGAGGATGCCATCGGATGCCCTGGAACTGGAGTTAACCGATAATTGTTAGCTTCCGTGTGGGTGCTGGGATTTGAACCTGGGTCTTCTGCAAGAACAACCAGCGTTCTTAACCGCTGAGCCATCTCTCTAGCCCCTAAAATACTTTATTTTTTATAAAAACGTGTACATGAGTACTACAGGTGCAGTTCAGTGCTGCAGCACTTTCCCAGCACAGATAAGGCCCTAGGTTCAGTCCCCAGCACTGACGAAACAAAACAAAATCCACTCTATAATCTCTGAATCCTGGAGTTTGTGAATGCGAAGTCCTGGACTTCCTCAGTGGACTTGTGGGGCCAGTAGACGGACAGTTACATCAGAATGACAAGCATTGTAAAGAAGTATGACTCCACACCTTGAGAACACAGATGGGGATTGTGGAGAAGTGGGTGACGCTGAATCTTGAAGGAATAGTATGTACTAGACAGCATAAGGACAAACATAATCTGGATGGCAGCAACCTCATTTACAGTGTCATGGTTCGCAGAGCAGTTTGCTTTCCCTGGAGGGTAAAAGATGTGGCAGAGAATATGTGGAAAAGAGACTGGGTAGGTAGTGACCAGCCTGGAAAGGTCTTCTGTAATACACTAAGCACTATGAATGGCAGTCAAGGAGTGATTGAGAATTCTGAAGAATTTTGAACAGGGGAGATTTAGATTTTAGATTAATTACTTTGTGTTAGGATAATTACAGCCTCATAGAGACTGGATTAGAAGATGAAAAAATAATTGATAATGGGAGAGACAGAGGCAAGTGGGTCTGTATGAGTTCCAGCTGGTCTATACTTTGAGCTCCCAGGGTAGCCAGGGCCACATAGTGAGACTCTGTCTCAAAAAAGGAGAAGGTATGAGAGATATAAAGGAAAAGAAGATGAAGACGTGAGCCAAGGCAGCAACAGCAGGGCACAGTGCAATGGAGAGGGGAACAGCACGTACTGCCTTAGGGCTCAGCAGTTTTGAGGGACATGTCATTGTCGGCTGAGAAGAGGATTTCCCTCCAGTCACCATTTAAATTTCAGTGCTTACTATGTAAGGTGGTTAAGCAGTGGTCAGTAGCAAAGAACATTATCTATATAGAGTTTCTTGTTTCTCCGTGAGCACCTGTAAATATATACTCCTTGATATTTATTACATATATTTTTAAATTTACTTATTAAAGACAGGGTCTCACTGTGAAGCCCTGGCCGACCTGGAACTTGCTATACAGTCTAGGCTGACCTCAAACTCACAGAGATCAACTTGCCTCTACCCCCTGGTGCTGGGTTTAAAGACATGCACCACCATGCCCAGCATTTTTATAACAATTACTTAGATTCCAGGGAATGGGCCAGGCTTGATGGTACACAACTGAAATCCTAGTTCCTAGAAGCCTGAGGCAGAAGGATTGAGAGTTCAAGGTCTCCTAGGCTATAGAGCAAGAGTCTGTCTTGGGTGGGGGGGATTCTAATCTTCTAGATTTTAAGAAAGGAGCTTTGAGCATTACATCAGTGTTTCCTATCAATGCAAAGCTTATTTGTTTTCTGAACAGAATCTTTGGTCCCAAAGCCGAAACGCAGATGGACGGAGAATCTCTGAAAACAGCTATTCTCTGGATGACTTGGAAATAGGCCCAGGTAAGCAGAGTCCTGTGACGTCCTCCATGAGGCATTCCGAGGTACTCCATAGTGACAGTGACTTCTGTTTCTTAGGTACAAGTCACTCCCACATCTTTCTTCTCTCCATAAGTAGCTTTAACTTTTTTCTGTTATTTGTTTGCTTTTGTTTATTTGAGATGGGGTCTCTTGCCCAGGCTGACTTAGACTATATAGCCAAGGATGACTATGAACTTCTGATCCTCCTGCCTCCATATCCCCAGTGTGGGATTACGAACATGAGAACACCACACTCAGTGTACTTTTTATTTTTTTAAATATTATTTTTTATGTATATGAGTGTATTGCTTGCATGTATGCAAGTACCCCCGTGTCGTACCAGGCCCATGGAGGTCAGAAGAACGTGTCAAATCCCCTGGAACTGGAGTTACAGTTGTTAGATGCCAATCGAACCCCGGATCCTCTGCAGGAACAGCCAGTGCTCTTAGCCATCTCTCCAGCCCCTGGTTTTGTTTTTTGAGACAGGGTTTCACTGTGTAACTCTGGCTGGCCTGGAACTCACAGAGGGACATCCACCTGCCTCTGCCTCCTGAGTGCTAGAATTAAAGGCATGTGGCACTGTGCCCTGCATTTCTTTATATTTTTAAGCCATCCTAGGATACCGCTGAGAGTTTGCAGGTAAAGTGCTAAAGATGCTTTGGCTCTGCAGTCACCTAGAACTGGAGGACTTCAACAGATGAACCAAATCACGGATCAAAATTGCCTATCCTATCTCTAATAATGTAGCTTGGTAGACCAGATGCTTAGCATGCACAATACCTTGAGTTTGATTCTCAGGGCCACAGAAAAAAATAATGAATGAAAAAATCTTTTCAATTTGTGTGTGCACACATGCACAATTATGGTAAAGGTACTCTTTTAACGTGAGGAAGGTGAATTAATATTACCTTGTCAAAGACAATTATATTCTTTTTTGTTTCGTTTGGGTTTTTTGTTTCTGGTTTTGGTTT